ATCTACCACATCAACATTTAAGAAAACAGTACTACATGAATCAGGCTAGTGTTTGGTGCCTCGGCCAAGCAAAAAGGATCACCTAGTCTCAATGATTGTCTAGAAAAAGGTCAGAACCTTATCGAACTGATTCCTTCAATTCTTCATAGATTCCGAATGAACAGAATAGGAGTTTTTGCAGATATATGAAAAGCATTCTTATAATTAAGTCTCAACCCTAAGGATAAAGACTATCTAAGATTCTTATGATATAAAACTGATGGAAAACTGAAGAATTACAGGCATTGTAGGGTAGTATTTGGAGTTACAAGTAGCCCTTTCTTGCTAGTTTCTGTAATTCACCATCTTCTAGAATCCATTTTGAAAGAACTAAATGGAAACCCAAAGTATAAAGTGGATATTATTGAGCAATTGAAGAAGAGCTTTTATGTAGATAATTGTTTAACGAGTGTGAAAATTGATTTAGAATTGCAACAGTTCATACAAGTTGCTTCAGATACTTTAGCTACAAGAAAGCTAAAATTACCGTATTTTTCGCCGTATAAGACGCAGCGGCATATAAGATGCACCCAATTTTAAAGGAGGCAAATCTAGAAAAAAAAAAAAATTATGAACCAAATTCTGTAGTAAAATATTTTATATCAACTGTATAAAGTTAACAGCAATTTGAGAAAAATTTTATGTCAACCATGTAACGTACTAAGAGCTATCTTTACTCTCATAAACAGTCAGCAAACAGTGAAAGTAACAAAAAAAAGGCTGTCATGTTTTTATTCTAACCCCAAGAATTCCTCTTCTTCGCTGCTACCATACTACATATATCACAGCTCACAGCTATCCTCGCCTCCGCTTGCTCCCGCACTGCGATTGGCTAAGCGAAAAGACGCGTGCCTTCACCCGCTCCCGCGTTGGCTTACGAGACTCTAAAATGTGCACAAAGCCAGCGCGGGAGCGAGCAAAGGCACGCGCCTCTTCGCTCAGCCAATCGCAGCACGAGGCAGAGACCGTCCAAATACAGTGCGAGGCAGAGCGGGGCTTCCTGGTCTCAGACGGCGCCAAGAGGTGGAAGGGAACTGGCCGAGTATTTGCGGTAAGGTATGTAGCAGAGGTGGGGGCAGCAACCATGGTGGGCTTGTATTTGCATATAGGCCGTATAAGCCCCCCCGATTTTGGGGAGAAATGCATACGGCGAAAAATACAGGTTGGGAATATAGTGACCCAACAGATAATTCCTCTAGTACCACAAATGTATTAGGAATGATTTGGGAACGATGTGGAGATTACCTTTGCCCTTAATATTACTAACATCACTTACAATCTACCAGAAATTTTGTCTAAAAGAGATATTTTAGCTACTACACACAAAATATTCGACCCTTTAGGAATAGCTTGCCCCGTAACTCTTGTGCCGAAACTTTTACTTCAGCACCTATGGGAAGTTAAGTTATCTTGGGACCAAGAAGTTGATTCAAATTCAAAATCACAATTTTGTAAATGGTTGAATGATTTGCAGTGTCTGGAAAGAATGAGAATACCAAGATGGTTAAACTGTGATCGTGAGATTGAAAATATCTCACTTCATTTCTTCAGTGATGCGAGTAAACTTGCATATTCAGCTGTGGCCTTTGTTCGAGTACAAACAAGAGATTCGGTTCAAGTTCATTTGGTGCAAGCTAAAGCGAGAGTTGCACCCAGCGGAAGGAAAAAGACAACAATAGCTCGATTGGAACTTCTTGGAGCTACAATATGTACACGTTTAGCATCCAGCATAATACCTGAATTTCAAGCTGATGATATTTATTTTTGGACAGATTCGTCTACTGTGCTAGCTTGGATACAGAGGAAATGAAGTATGGGACGTATTTGTTCACAACAGAATTAAGGAAATAAAGCGACTGACTTCTATTGAATCTTGGAGGCACGTACCAGGATCACTGAATCCTGCTGATTTGCCCAGTAGAGGATGCTCTGCTTCTTATTTAATTAAATCTAGATGGTGGGAAGGTCCTAAATGGCTATATTTATCACCAGAAAAATGGCCAAAAAGAAGATTTTAGTGCTGATGAAGAAGAAATAGCTCTTGAGAAAAAGAAAAGGATTATTTCGTCCTTAATAAATCTTAATGCTAGTGAAATAGTTGCTACTAGATTCTCAAGTTATCGTAAGACAATCAGACTGGTAGCGTGGATGTGTCGTTTTGTTTACAACTGTAAACATCAAAACAAGAAAAAGGATGAACTTACTGTATCTGAGTTAAATGAAGCAGAGAATATCTTGATTCGTTTAATACAAAATGAGTCCTTTAATGGAATAGAAGATAAACGGATTTTAAGTCTTAATCCATTCATTGATTGTGGGATCATCAGAACTAAAACAGCGATATTTCAAAGAGAAGATACATCTGAGTTCAGAACTCCTGCTATTTTGCCAAGTGATCATCCTCTTATAAGAAGTTTAATAATGGAAGAACATAAGTTGAAAGGACATGTTGGAGTTTCTCACGTCCTAAATTCCTTAAGAGAAAGATTTTGGATATTAGCAAGAAGAGTTGTGTCATCCGTTTTGAAAACTTGTATAACCTGTAAGCGTTATTCAAACAAAAATGTTAACCCACCAGCGCCACCACTTCCTAGAGATCGGGTACAGGATGCCTCAGTGTTTCAAATAACCGGCATAGATTATGCTGGACCTATATTTCTAAGAGACTACAAGAAGGCATGGATTTGCCTATTCACTTGCGCAGTGTACCGTTGTGTTCATTTGGAACTGGTTACATCCTTAACGACAGATACATTTCTACAAGCGTTTCATCGTTTTTCTGCTAGACGTGGGAAGCCATCCATAATTTATACTGATAATGGAACAAATTTTGTTGGAGCATGCAATGCACTTGCTTCAATCGATTTCAATGAAATTGCAAAAAAAAAAAAAAAAAAAAAGGAGCTAATGAACGTATTATTTGGAAGTTCATTCCCCCAGGCGCTCCATGGTGGGGTGGCTGGTGGAAACGCCTCATAGGAATGATGAAAAGAATATTAAGAAAGTAATGTGAAGCTATTCTAAATGATAGACCTTTAACAGTTGTATCGGCTGATTCAAGTCTCGCTTCCATAACACCTGGAAATTTTTTACGAGAAACAAAACTATTCATTGCCAATTGGGAAACATGACTTCAATTCTAACTTTTATAAACGTAGATTGCGTTATATCCAAAATGTTAACCAGGTTTTCAAGAAAAGATTTTCCCAGGAATATCTGAGAACTTTGAAAACAACAAGCAAAAAATTCGCTAGAAGTTGTAAATTAAAAGAAGGAGACATTGTCTTAATTGGAAGCGATGACAAAAGGAGATTAAATTGGCCTCTTGGTAAAATCATACAATTATTTCCAGGTACCGACGGTGAAAGTCGACGAGCCAGAATTAAAGTGCAAAATGGAGAAGTCATAAGAGCTGTACAAAATCTTTATCCTTTGGAATTATCGACTGCCGAGGAACTTCCATCGAAATTCAGCGGAAGTCAACGATGCGAAAATATTTCGGTAGAGCAAACTCCAATTGATGATGTACCTGTAGAAACAAATAGAATAATCCATACCCATTTAAAATCGCCCACGATAACCAAATCAGGAAGGACAATTAGAGTTCCTCATCGATTGGACTTGTGAGAACAATGTTTAATTTTTTATTATTTTGCATACTCAGTCCCGAATTTCATATTGCAAGGTGGGAGGATGAACAATATTTTGACTCTAATATTTTTGTTTACATTTTTTTTCTAACTGCAGCTTCTGAGTAATATTGCACGAGCCTCAAGCAGATATAATCGTTTTCTTTACTCTATAGATTTTTTTTGATTTATTATCTATTCATATTATTATTATCTATGTTTTGTAACAGTTTATGTTTCAGAGAATGGCAATATACTATACTATGTTGTTTTTCTGTTTAGAGAGTTAGTGTAACTTTTGTTTTCATTATTTGAGAGTAAAGGAATTATTTAATTATCGTAGAGTCATAAATAACTAAAGAGATATAGATAGTTATTTCCGAGTAATAAATAGTTTCTTGAGATAACAATTTGGTTAGAAATTTTGAATCTGTGCTGTGTTCCATCTGATGATAAGCTTAGTTTGCAAAATCATGTCTCTCAAAATCAGTTGGTTTCAGATTTTGTAAGAATACGTCTCGAAGATGATCCTGATAGTCACACACAGGGCTAAACATATTCTGTTTGGCATCTTGGGAAAAAATTGTTGCTTCTTTTCCCTAAAAACAAACCAAAAAAAAAAAAAAAAAAAAAAAAAAAATAGCAAAATCATTATAAAAAGTTTTGCAAAAGATACTTTTTGGTGTTCTCAGTTTTGATTGTTTAGTATGGCACGTCCCTGCGTTTAGCAGGGACCCTTGATGGTCATCCTACTTCGTCTTTCCTTAAAGCTTGCTATTGGTTACTCAGTCCCATATAAAATGCCAGTTCTACAGAATAGCTACAACGCCACCTGCAAAACATTTAGCTGTTCTAGCAATAACATCTTTTTGTTATTAAAAAAATCTAGCATCTTACTGCATTTCTGTGAAATCCACATTGTGCTACTTTTGGAATTATTGAATTTTTACTATTTCTGTAACTTTTGGATCACCTGGTTTATATCTGCTTAATTGTATATCAGTTTTGATCAACAGCACTCTCAGAAATTGAATTTTGTCTGAGTTTGATCATGCTAATTAGAGTAAATCAGCTAAATCAACATTAATAATTTTTGGTGAATGTAAGAATGCTAAGAGCCATTACCTAAAATGTGTATAAAGTTTATATCAAACATAAAAGTATGGTTTGATGATGGTGTATATCATACTAATGCAGATAGCTTTCATATGCTTTACTGTAATGTATTTATAAGTTTTACTTATCTATGTATGTATACAGCTTTTTTTACTTCTCTTAAATGTCTGCTTGATTAAAAAAAAAATTTTTTTTCCTTATAATTTTTTTTTTCAGGAAAATAATTTATAACATGGCAGAGTGGTCAAAATTTGATTTATCCTTTGATTGCTTTGATTTTCCCAAGGATGATTCCTGGCTATGTGAGCCTAATAAGCCTACATTTGATTGCTTTGATTTTCCCAAGGATGATCCCTGGCTATGTGAGCCTAATAAGCCTACATTTGAAATTAATAAGCCTACATTTGATTGCTTTGATTTTCCCAAGGATGATCCCTGGCTATGTGAGCCTAATAAGCCTACATTTGAAATTAATAAGCCTACATTTGATTGCTTTGATTTTCCCAAGGATGATCCCTGGCTTGTGAGCCTAATACATTTGAAATTAAAGCCTAATTTGCCTACATTTGATTGCTTTGATTTTCCAAACGATGATCCCTGGCTATGTGAGCCTAATAAGCCTACATTTGAAATTACTGATGATATTCCCTGGTTAGATGACCTTAATCTGTATGCTAAATCCCTTGGAAATACATCTAGTAAAAAATGTGAACACACAGTTACCAGTAAAGATTTTGAACAATCAGCTATCAGTGAAGATTTGGAACAATCAACTACCAGTGAAGATATTGTACAATCAACTACTAGTAAAGATTCTGAACAATCAGCTATCAGTAAAGATTCTGAACAATCAGCTATCAGTGAAGATTTTGAACAATCAACAACTACCAGTGAAGATTTTGAACAATCAACAACTACCAGTAAAGATTTTGTACAGTCAACTGCCAGTAAAGATTTTGAACAGTCAGCTACCAGTAAAGACCAGAAACAACACCAGAACGAGAAGCCAAAAGTGATAGTTGAGAAAATCGAGGTTGATATAAGTAGTATAGAAATTCTGAGAAATGGATATGATAGAGGGGTAAGAGTAAAGCCTTCAATGGATAAGTATTCATTACATAAATCAAGTAAAAGAAAATTTGGCACTGATTGCCAAAGTATTGAGAGTGAGAAAGAACAATATAACTTACGAAAGAAATCAACTATGATCAATGAAGAAAGACCACCAGACTGTGAGTTTCTGATTTTATTAAGTAATGTTGTTCTTAAAAATGTGTTAAAAATGACATTTCACTTTGACTGTATTCATATTGTTATTTTATTTATTTATTTATTTATTTATTTATTTTAAATACTGACTCTATCATCATAATGTAATTATAGTTAAAATTGAGTGAGCAGCTGCTAAAAAGAAGTACAATGAACAGTTCTCATGTTCTTCCTTTGAGTAGCTGTACTGTTTCTATCTGCAGCCTCATTGATAAAATGCATGTTGGTGAGTTCTGTGTCCATGTTGGCAATCAATACCACTGGAAATCTGCATGGAGAGTTAAAATTTATGCCAACAGGACACTTTAATCTCCCATTTAATAATGTCCTGTACCACAGTACGACATCTGAGCACACAAAATCTATTTCCATCTGCTCTGTCTGCCTGTATATTTTGCTAGATAATTTTTAAATTGTGCAGTTGATTTTTCTTTCAGTTTTTTAATTATGCAAAGTTTTAAAATATGTGCTTACCGTAAAAGCCTGACTATCTGGAATTCAAGAATCTGAATATTTTAGAAAAAATTTTCCCTGGAAAAATTTAGTAACTAAAGATTTGTAATGCCATTATAAAACTCATAATACAAATTATAATACTTACGTAATACAGTAAAAAGTCTTTAATCCGGACTCGTCAGGACTTCGGCTATTCCAGATTATAGATCATCAGTTTAAATCTGGTAAGATGGTATGCAGAAATTATAAAATTAAAAATATGAAACCATAATTTATGAAATAAAGAGCAATTATGATCTAAAGGGTATCAAAATTTACAAAAAAAAAGGCTTAATATTTATTTGTTTACTTTATTAAACATTTCTTTCAATGCGCGCATGCGTAAAGCATACATTACGCATAGTCGAAATTAGAAAATTGCAACCAGAAAACTATTTGATGTGTATTCTTGATATTTATAATGACGAGGAAACTGATTTAAATTATATTGGAGTACATCGAGATGAAACACTACATTTAGTGAGGAATTATAAGCCGAATAAAATAAAAACATCTGCCCTGAAGATGAGGATAGTGCTGACAGATCAACCCCCCCCCCTTCCGCAGAGCAGTGTGAAATTGATAAACAGATTTCAGAATGGTTAGAGAAACAAATCACCTATCTGTCACTTTCTTCATGCCTTTATCCATTTTAGAAGCAGTTCCACTTTTTGTTTAATGGACATCGAAACATGCTTTCGCTTTGCAGATCCTTTGGCAGCTCCAGCAATTGGAAATTCTATTTTGACATAATCGAAAGTTCAAGCTTAATTTTTATAAAATTGCTCTAACAATCTTCAAAAAATAATAAGCCGGATCCAGTTCGAAGATTAAGGAACAATGCGCAATCTGCAACATTAACTGAAATGCTTCAGAATCAGTAAAGATAATTTTAGTCTTAGCTTATACCGTCTGTTATACATTAAATGCACATGCGTAAACGTATTATGCGCATGCGCATGCATAAACGCCTGTGCGGATGCATAAACACATTATGTGTTGACGCATGCACAGAAAGTTTGTAGCTTTGAGGTCCGGATTAACGACTTTTGACTGTACTAATTACAGTACAAGGTCTGAGATCAGGACTTCGGCAATTTCGGATTTATCCGGATATTAAACCATCAGTTTAAATTTAGTAAGATGGCAAGTAGAAATTATAAAATTAAAAATATAAGATTGTGGTTTATGAAATAATGAAGCATTTATGATCTAAAGGGCATCAAAATTTACCAAAAAAAAGCTTAGTATTTGTTTACTTTATTTAACATTTCTTTGAATGTAAATTATTTAAATTGCTTCGTTTTTTGTGCTAATACTTTCTCTTCAATTCTATAGACAGACATAGTCTCTTGTTCAGTTACAAAGTTTTACTGTTCAAGTCCTGTAGTTGCTGTTTTGAGAATTTTAACTAACTTGTTTATCAAAATTTTTTCGTTTTCAATAACCTCTTTGTCACTTTTCTTCACTATCGGTATTTTCTGGATTTAGAACCATGCTACAGATTTCGCTGTCCATTAACTGATTGATGATTGGAGCATTGTCACCGCAATGAAAAACTTTGTTATATTATCTTCATTTAATTACCGCTTGTCCACATTTCTTTACAAAACCCATTAATTGGAAAGTTTCACCTGTGGTTTGCTATATCCGAAAGCCTTCATATTCGCGGCTATCATCTTCATCGTCCTCACCATGAAATATGGTAGCTTGGCCATAAACTATGCCAAGCATTTTTTAAAGTATCTGGAGGCACATCCACCCACAATCTTGCGATGCTCCACTCAGCAGGTTTTTATGTTAAAATATTTTTTTAAATTCATGAATAGTCCTGCCATTATTCAAGAAACTTAACATGGATTTTAAAAATGCGACTTTATATTTGCACTTCAGCACTCGCACTGTTCTGATATCCATAGGTTTAGTGATGGACATACAGTTTGGAGGAAAGAATAGCATGGTTACATCATTAAAACTTTAAGTGAAATATGATCCAAACATTTCTCGGTTGATCTTTAGATTATGGTAACTTGACGATTTTTTGGCGAAAATTTGGCGACCAACTCTCCTACAGCAACCCTCTATTTTTTTTTTCCCCCGCCATTTTGTCTTCACGAAGTAAAGACATGTTTCTTTTCTTTTTATCTACTGAACACTTCTTCCAACAATCTACTAGCCGAATTACACTTATGCTAGAAATTTTATCTAACAAAACTGCTTAATCATGACAAATATTCACTGCAAAATTGGGAAAAAGTGCACAATACCATACTCCTTACGCGTTTTTCAAAATAACACATACACATAAACCATGTACACGTCGACTTATTTTTACTTAAAAAAACATCCCAGAATTGCACAAAAATGGCATTGCGCACACTCTTCACTATATCCATGTACACTGCTTTTTTCTCATAAATTAGAAAAATTTCACGAAAATACATGACAATTTTCTGAATCTTTAAACCCCGGTAAAAAGAACATATATGAAATTACCTGATCGCGAAAAAAGTATATACCCTTTCCAAATATGAACATTTCCACATATAAAATAAATAAAATATCCAAAAACTTTTACCTCTAAATTATCTATTATATTATAAACGTCACCAACGAATTCATACCGCAAACATTACAAATACTTAGTGTCAAATATTTAAATTATTTCCATGCACGTTTACTTCAACTAAAAAAACGTATACCAAATTCCTACAAACATAAAATTCACAAAATAACTATCATTTAATTAAAATATAATTAAATTCAAAAACACTACTTAAATATAAATAAGCACATACATTAAATTAATAAAATTACTTACAATCCTAATTACTTTAAACTAAATCATGCTAATTTACCAAATTACTTTTTCCACCTTACATTTAGAACAATGCATAAAAATAATATCCTCAAATAATTAAAAATACTAACTTACCTAATCTTCTTCAGAATCTTGCTTACATGGTGGATACACTTATGCATTAAATTATCACACAAACGCATTAAAAATCTAGAATTCACTTTAGACAGCGCCATACAATCCCAAAATTATTCAACCCTACTTCACACAACACACAATGAAGCTTAATACAAAATAATATACAGCCACAGATATTTTTCCAAATTCCCCCCTTTTCTGATTAAAGAACCGTAATTCGTCCATTAATATCACATGACATATCCCATGATCTCTCATTTCCCTCACACAAAATAATGCGTAATCGGAACTGAATACTGCTCACATTATTACCAAAGTCCCAGGTAGTAACCTTTATCGCCAAACTACCAGTTACCATATTCTAAAGATCACCCCATTTCTCTACAATCAAGACAATTTTTTCGTCATCAGGTAAACTAACCGAATTCAAATTTTCCCGAGCTTTGGGTATGAAGTGATTTTCAAACCAATCATATATTAACGCTTGTGTCATCCATTCTCTTTTATCTGCATGATATATAACAAGAAACCTTTACTCGAGGTCGTGTACTTTTTTCCGATTACGAAAAGTTTACGTTTGTGTGTTCCTGCAGCATTTGCACCTGCTAAAATTGTCTAGCTTTGGAATATTTGACACCAGTTGGAGTCGTTTCTGTAGAGGTTGCCAAGGTATTTCATATTGCCAGAAAAGACCAGTTTCATCATAGTTGTAAAGTTGTCCTGGATATAATGTTTCACTATTAATGAGTTCATTGAATTCATCTGCAAATAGTTCAATATCAGCTGAAGCTTTTTCATCTAAACTTTTTAATTGCATTATACCACAATGATTTTAAAATTTTCTATTTTAAAAATTTAGCTAGTTTTTTTTTTTTTTTTTTTTTTTTTTTTTTTTTTAGTTCATTTCTTCATGAAATATTTTGGCTTTAGCCATTAGCATTGGACCTGTGAATGGCACACCCTCGCTGCATCTCTGTCTGACCATTCAATCATCACTTTGTCATGATCGTCTCTTCTAGCATATTGAAGAATTTGTCTGTTATTTATTGCAAGTGGGATGTCGGAATCCACAAAAAATTCATAAAGTTAACTTTTCTGTTATGTTATGTGCAGTTGACTTTCCAAAAAATTCATTAAGTTCCTTTTTCTGTTATGTTATATGCAGTTAACTTTCCAGTGCCATAATCTTCGCATAATTTTGAGACGGATGTACCTATATTCATTTTTTGCAGCAATTCCACTTTTTGATTAATAGACATGGAAACAGGCGTTTGCATTGTAGATCCTGCTACAGTTCCAGAATTATATACTCTTTTCGACATAATCAAAAGTTCAAACTTTAGTTTTCATAAAATTGCAGTAATTACAACAGCCTGCAAAAAATTATAAGCTGGATCAAATCAGAAAGTTAAGGAGCAACACAATCTGCTATATTAACTTAAATTCTTTGGAATCAGTAAAATATAATTTTAGCCTAGCTTAACAGCGTATGCTACACATGATTGACTATGTAGCATGGCGACGAAATGT